GAGGGTAGATACCCTGGCGTTTCATGGCATTGATGCACCACTTTAAAGACACAAAGTCTCGACGAAGCACGGATGCTCGCAGGAGTGCATTTACGGTCCGTGATGTCATACGACCTTCAAAGGCGGGAAGCAGAGAATGAAGCGAGGAGCGTGCATGGTGGGATGCAAAATAGGATATGGCCAGACATATGGATCGGGAAGAGAAGTATTGCCTGTTCTCAGGATCGAGCATGAGACGGCGGATCATATCTCCGATTGCATCCTTGTGGGATACCCCAAGCGCACTATGCAGTCTCCCATGTACTAATCGCGTGACTGGTACTAGAACCAAATCCTCAATGTAATCGGCAAATGTCTTGATGGTAAACTTCTTCGGAGCTTTTATCTCATTTTTACCAGGCACAAGTGGTTCCGGTGGGAGGGATGCCCATACAGACCGTATCAAGGGCCTCTGAGATGAATCCTTCAGGAATGGGATGAAAGGAGGGAGGTCATTCTTGGGAAGGTTTTGTATAAGTTCTTCAATGTGCTTCTCCCCAGCTTGAACAGCTGCCTGTGTTCCGCTTAACACCAGATGACGAAGCCCAAGTGAGTCGTCGGTCTGTGGGAGAACGTGTGCCCGGCAACCGCTCAGAAAGGGTATTACCCACATATTCTCTCGTTCGTCTCCAACAAGAGCCACGACATCAGCTTCGCTTAATGTGACTGTCTTTTGAAACTCATCGGCTGGACGATCCGGTTTGTTATTGACGAGACTTTTGAACCCTTCCACAAGCTGGAGACATATGCTGGCTTGACGCTGTGCATCGGATCGCTGTTCCTCAAGAGACTTGGGTTGATATACACGGTGACTGATTGGATTATTGTAACCATGGCGAACATATCGTAGAGGAGTTCGTGGAGGTGCCGTGTAGGGATTTCTGGCAGCATTTTGCCTGTCAAAATCGGCCATGGACTTGGTATAGCGTAACGGAACACCATGTGCCGATTTCCTTATCCAACCCCCCAGATGACTTTTGTTCCGTACTGGCCTTGTATCGCCCGCATTATTGTATTCATAGCTTGACGGTTGGGATCCTTGCTTCGTTGCTAGACTATCCAGCTCGGACAGTAGCTCTGGCAATGCATGCTTAGATCCATTTGGTTGAGAATAGCTGGTGGTGCTTTTATTTTTGCTTGTCTTGTCATCACGGTCATATTCAACAATCGGTGGAGCTAGGACGGTGTCAAGAAGGGTGTTCTCAGTGTTATTTGTGGGTATTATAATGTCGCTGCCGCCGATTTCCTGACGTTGGCTCTTCGGTTGAGGCTTTTGACGGCCTGGTACCTCGGGCCCGGAGCGCTGTGAACTCCTTGACTGCCGGTTCTGCGCATCCTCGGGTACACGGTTTATTCGATCCTTTCCCGGCTTTCTATTATCCGAAGCAGTCCGTGTCTTAGTGAGCCCGATAGAATTGTCAATCGCCGCAGCAAAGGCTGGTGGGTAGAGGAAGAGGAGCGGCTCATTCTTTATGGCTGCGCTGATATTCTCGGCAACGGGTATGCTTGCTTTCCTCGACAAGCAGTATCGACTGCCTGAGAACATTGATAGCTGCCGACGAGCATTGAGCTGCCCGAAACGTCGTCAGGTCATCGATGATGCTGGAGATGCCGGACTGTTCAGCGTCCAAAAAACTGCCTTTTCGAGGTTTTTTTTGCTTTCGACTTTTTTGCAGTTGAGCTAAGGTTGCTTAGTAAGCAAATACAAATGTACATACGAAGGAAGCTGGAGGATCAGATGGAGAGGAATATAAAACTGTTTTAATAGTCTATCTAGAGGCATTTTTTTCTCAAAATGTAGTTCTATGATACAGGGCAGGTTGAGCAGCGCTGTCATGCGCTGTTCCAAGTCCACGACTCTCTGACGAGCCGGTCACCGGCCTTGTATGCCTTGTGCAGATTCTCCCGCCTGGCTCTCTCGGCTTCATCGGGAGAGTCGTGCGGTATTTCATCCATTGACTGTTTCAGCATTTTGATTAATTGTCGACGAGAAGAATGAAAGAGCAACATGGACAGTATCTCAGGCATCTACATGGTATGTCAGCAAATATTGACCTTATCGATAGGACGGAGCGGACATCCTTACCTTATCTTCCAGCAACACCAGACCATCTCCTCCACGATGTACGAATTCCCTCACTGCATCGATCCTCTCGCGATCAAGCGTCGAGATCCTCATGGCTTTGGATAGAATTGCCACGTTTGTGATATCCTCAGGCGCAACCTGTTCCTCCCACTCATCTTGGGATATCCTCGATAGCTGGCCGGTATAAGTCGTCCCAGCTTCTCCCGCCGTTATGATACTGGGTTCACCGCTCCCCAGGTAGCTAGTACCAATCATACCTCTTGCAGGCCTATGTTTGGACCTTCTCACTCTCCTCCTCAGCCATCGTCTCCGTCGAACAAACGAATGGCACCAGGGATGGGTTCCGTGCCACGCGAACTTCGAAGCAAAGGAGAACGAGTACTGCCAACCCTCCTCGTCGACGTCATGCGACATATCGACATACCATGTCTTCCAGTCCCACTCCCAGCTTGGATCAGGGACTTGTGCATTTGCAATTGTTACGGGGCTTTGTTCAAAAGTGGCCGTCATCCATGCCGGCGGGTCAAGGTTCAGAAGCGAGTTTTTCGAGAAGATGGGCTTGCCGAAGAAGAACCATCCTCGTTGGTTTTCGTAGAGCACGTCTATTTCACTTTGCGATTGAGGATGTGGCTCTTCTGTCGTTGGCTGTTCCTGCAAGGATGCTTCGGTGTCGAACGCCACGTCCGACCCAGGCCGTCGGACAGCAGATGACGACGGTGCTGCAATTGACGTGTTCCTGGACAGCGAGCCTTCCCGTGGAGTAGTAGCTGTGATCTCCCTGCTGAGCCTGCGGTCGTCTCCATTGACCCCGTGGGTGCCATGAGCACCACCACCATCGTACCGATCCTGCTGGTACTTTGCGTATTTCCGTCGGGCCAGGTTCTCTCGCACTGAGAGGCCGGTCAACTTCTTCGCCAGGGATCGGTGGGTACTCGTCCGGCTCGCTCGCAGGCCAATCTCAGACTCATCCGGTTCGGGGGCTGGACAGGTGTTGTCTACGAGGAGAATGCCACCGCCGCTCGCCATGGCAGAGCGGCCAGAGGACAGCGAAACTCGCCAGTTAGGGGGTGAAGTCTCCAGCTCCAGAGGTAAGCCGTAGCGGTGCTGTCTCCGTCGCCATAAGGAGGGCGGTGCTAGAGCCTGCTATAAGTATCCACGGTGGTCAGACGGGCGGAGAGAGGAAAAGGAGAAAAGGGATAATATTAATGTCTCTCCCGCGCAGCTTCAGCTTCGTCTGTTTCTTCTTATCAACATCCAAGTTTCTTAGCTAAGAAAAAACTAGGAAAAACATGATGACTCAGCGATGACATCACCTGTGAAACGCTAAGCCTAAACGGGATATCAACACTTGGCCTTCGATCAGATAACAAAGATAGAAGAATAACAGACAGACAGACAGACAGACAACACAGAGTACAATATACAATCAGGATTTTAAAGAGGTAGAGATAGACGCAAGAAGGGCATCGGTGGCAGTATAGACAACATGCAGGAACCGCACCACCGGAAGATCGAGCTGCAGTCGACCGCAGACCTCACCTACCTCTACACAAACACGCTCACAGTCGCCCGCGAAAAGCTCGACCTCCACTTCCCTCCCTCTGCCAACGATGACTCGGATCCCATGAAAGAGCGAGTGCGCAGTCTAGTCGATGGCGTGCGTTCTCTTTGTCCAGCTTTTTTGTTAAAGGCCAAAATACTGACGTGACTCCAGTTCATAAACAAGACATTCACATCCGCTATACCCTCCATAAGCATAAACGGAATCGACACAACAAACTCGCCCTCGAAACAAAAAGGACCCAGCCGAGATGAGCAGCCCATTAATCTCGAGTCACTCCTGACAACCCGGGAATCAATTGAGTACGAACCATTCGACACCGAACTCGCGGCCAGACTTACGTCTCTATACGCACAGCTGGAATCACTCACCACAACAGTAGCGCAGATGAGACGGGATGCGCCGCTAAAAGCAGCAAAGGCGTACGAGGAGGCGCTGAACAATGCCCTTTTACATGACGACGAGGATGATGATGAAGAAGATATAGATGAAGATTATGAGGCGGATTCAGTGCCGGTAGATGCTGATATGGACGAACAGCAACGACAGGAAGAAGAGAGGAAGAGAGATATTGAGAGGATACAGAGGATACTTCAGAAACATCCCGAATGGGTTTTACAGGTACCTCTGGGAACGGAGCAGGTTCAAGAGCGATGGCGAGACGGGGAGATGAGTGATGTGTATGCTCGATCGTTAGAGACACTGTTTAAATTGCAAGGGGAGGGAAGCGGGATTGGATATGGAAATGAAGACGAGGAAGATGGGGGAGGAAGCAGTTCTATGGGTGGTACGAGTGCCGGTGCGCCGTTGGCTACAACGGTGGGCAAGGCGGAGAGAGCACGGCTTGCTACCGGGGTTGTTGAGAAGATGTAATTGAAGGTATCGAATTGATTTGGCTATTCATTATTTAATACTTTAATAATCTCCTTGTGGCTGATTTTTAAATGTAACGATGCTGTTGCATGTTAAGACAGGATATTAATTAAGATGATGGTCTGGGATAGGGGGTGGTATAAGTAAATATTAAGGGACAAGCCACAATCTAGGATCAAGGTCATGGAAAAGGAAAAGGGAAGGGAAGAATGATTTGACTCTCATTTATTTGAATATGTTTGATTTCTTCCCATGCAGATGCTTGTACCAACACACTATAGAAGTCAAGTCACCCGGTAGTATATTTGCAATGTAGTATATACGAATAGACCAAACATCCATCCGTTCAGCCCAGGCCCAGTCCAGTCCCAGATCAAAAAAGAGAGGTCTTCTACCTTCTATCTGTCCGTCTGTCCGTCCGTCCTGTCCTGTATATTCCATCTAAGCAGCAGCCGGAGCTGGAGCCGCAGCCGTCGCAGTAGCAGTAGCCGGCTCAGCATCAGTAGCCTTCTCCTTCTCCTCCTCTTCTTTCTTCTCCTCCTCCTCCTCCTTCTTCTTCTCCTCGCCCTCCTCACCTCCCTCCTTCTTGGCCTCTGTCTTCTTCTCCTTTGAGCCAGCCCACTCCGGCTCCTGCCAGGGTCCCATATCGCTAAACATGCACCCGCCCTCACACTCACACTTGCCGCCAAACTGCACCGGCAAGTTCTCTGCGGGAATCTGCGAGAGCAACTCGCTCTCATACCCGCCTCCAAAGACATGTATCTTCTTCACCGTGACCGGGTCCAGGAACCCCTTGACCATGGCGAACACCGTGCTGAACCCCCACGGCGCATTGATGATGTACAGCTTCCCCAGACGCTCGGGGTAGTAGTTTTGAGAAATGGCAGAGGCCTGGCGCACGTAGCCGATGACGGACGAGGCGTTGCCCAGGCCCACGCCCTTCATGTCCATTATCGTGCAGCAGGTTTCGAGCAGGTGGCCGGATTTTCGGGCGCAGGCGGGGAGGCGGTTGTCGGCCAGCTTCTCGTACTCGCATACTAGGTGTTTGAGCATGCGGTCGCTGGTGGTCACTTTGTACATGGCTGTCAGGTCGATTTTGCCGAATTGCTCAATGTACACTGGTCGGCCGTCCTACAGAGATCATACAGGTAAGCGGATGGCAGTGTATACCGGAAGACAGAGACGGGAGGGGGGGGGGGGGGGGGCCTACCTTGTCTGTCTTGTGGTAGAATTGGGGGTAGTATTCGAACATCTTCTCTTTCTCATGGTAGTCGAAGTCTGAGACCAGCGTGTCCGTCTTGAATTCTGCTCGCCATTTCTCGCTCGCGAGGAACCTGTCTCCCGAGTCAGCATCATCTCCATTCAACTAAATGCAGCATGCATAAAGCTATGTAGTTTCAAGTAAAAGAGTGTGTTAGTGCGTGCGTACATAGTCTTCGAAGCCTCAACGTTGAACTTTCTCGCCCGCAGGAACCGCAGCAGCGTCAATGTGTCTAGCCTGTCCTTGCAGCCAGCGTCCTCCAGCTGCTTCCGGAGCTGGAACACCTGCGCATCCTGCTCGGGCGTGGTATACCCCGGGTGGCCAGGCTGCGGCGTGGGAGCAGACGTGGGGAAGTCGTAGTGGTCGTATTTCTCGTCGACGGGGAGGTCTTTGGGCTGCGGAGTGGCTTGTTTGGACGCCATATTTCCTGACTGTTCTGCTAGCCGTCTGTATGCCTGTCCGGGTGTGCTGTGCAGGGTGTATGCGATGGAAGGAGAAGAGCAGGAGATCGGGGAGTTGGGTTGGGTTGTAAGTAGGCCAGGTAGAAATACGTTTATTTTATGTGTCTGGCTGAGAGTTTTTTTTGGTGATTTGATGATGGTTTGGGCGGTTGATGGTTGTTGTTGGCGTTTTGGTGGGTTGCGTAGTTAAAAGGGGGCGGATTTCGCCTCTCCGACAGTGGCTGAAGCAAAGCTGGTTGAGCTGACTAGCTGTTAGTTAGCTGTTGACTAGTTAGTTAAACGAATCTACTGGCTAGTTCTGGACGTCGATGACGAGGAAGACAGGATTATTGAACTTGGGCTGAGAGACGGGCGAGTCTGGTTATATATATATATATCTGTATGTATGTATACATACAGTTATGCACTCCCTGCGTCTGGCTGAGTTGTCTCGGTGGGGGCAGACGCAGCCAGGGGAAGCAGAAGCAGGCGAAGCTGAGTGGACGGCGACGGTGACGATGAGGATGAGGATGTTTAAGAGTAATAAGACCGTTGGAGATGACGATACGACGATGGCTTGGTCGGTTAATTTAATAAATAGTCCGTGGTTTATTAGATAGATAGATAGACATATATAATAGCTAGCAAGTAGGATAGGATGGGATAGGATGGGATGGGATATACTGCGAATACTGGCTGAGATCTCTCCTTTTTTCCTTTTTTTTTTTTTTTTTTTTTCTGTGACCGTTTCATGAAGTAGAAAAAAGTGGAAGAAAGACATCCGGGGCAAAGGAAAGGGAAAGCAGGCTGACAGACAGGCAGACGGGCAGGCGTTAAGGTAGGTAGATATATGGATAGCATAGGATAGGAGACGGGGAAAGGGGCAGAATCCCTCCTTTTGGAAGATCGATATTGAGATACAGGCATAGATATAGATATAAGTAGATGGATAGTAGATGGATGGAACAGACGGCAAGAGAGTAAGTAGCATGAAGAGAGATAGAGACATGAGCATAATATAAGCGTAAGAGTTAAGGTAAAAGAGATGGAGTACATAGCAGGTAGATCAATGGGGCAAGGAAGGAAGAAAAGAGAAGAAAAGGAATAAAATGAAACAATATCGAAACACAGCGAGGCAGGCAGGCAGGGAGAAAAAGAAGCCAGGGCCAGGGGGTATGTAGAGAACAGAGACTGAGCAGAGCAGATCGCAAAGACAGACGGCGGGGGCGAGGGAAAGAAGTAAAATAGTTAAGTCACAGATATCAAGAAGAAGAAGAAGAAAAAGAAGAAACATCAAGGCGTTCTATCCACTGGAAGGGTGCCGATGGGGAAGAAAAAGGGGGGGATATAAAACGATGTAAGATGTAGAAGTAAAAAAGGTGAAGGGGGGAATATCTTCCCCCTGGAGCGAGAAAGAGTGTGTTAAGGAAGTAGGTATCACCTCGAGTCAGTGTATTAAGATATCAAACCAGAGCAAAGACCAGAGCAAGCCAGACCAAACGATACCGATAGCCAAAGTCAAAAGGAGAAAGAAGACGAAGAAGGAGAAAGGGTATTAGCAAGGTAAAGGGGTATGAGGCGGATTAGAAAGAGAGAAAGAGAAGTAGATTTACTACCAGCCCTTCTTCCGGGCGAAACGCTTGTTGAGCAGAGCCAGGACGCGCGAGACGTTGAACTGGACGTATTCCAAGTCCAGGTCTTCCTGGTTGTCTTTCTGCATTTCCAGCAAGTCGTCGAGTTTCAGATCTAGTTCTAGCAGGCCTCTAGCTCGTCCTATACATAACCGTTAGTATCAGGATTGATAGAAAGTGAAAAAAGTAGAGACGTACCCTTGTAGTGTAGACTGATGACAAAAGTGCCTGGGAGCGGACTCTTGAACATAAAGTATATATTGGCCCTCCTGTTCTCGGGCACGTTACTCCGTCTAATGACGCCTTCCTTCTCGAGCTGCTGGTGGGTGAACTTGTAGGGTCCCAGCTCCTGGTGCTTCTGGGTCTTGCGCTGCTTTCCTTCGCTCTGGCTGCGGACGTTGTGCAAGTAGGACTTGTAGGTCTCGAGCTGGTTGACGAGGTAGGCGTTGTGGTCGCGGATGGTGCGGTAGACTTCTTCGAGCTTGCGCTGTTCCTCGAGCACTTTCTCACGCAGCGAGCCGAGGTGTACGAGTTCCTGCTCGACCTCGTCGCGGAGTAAGGAGAAGTCGTCTGACCGGTCGATAACGCCGAGCTCCTGCAGCTGGCTGAGGAGTTCCATGGTGCGGATGCCCTTGCGGACCATGACGGCGTCGTTTTTGAGGGTGGCTGCAGCTTCGGCGATGCGGTCGAGGCGCAAGGGGCGGCGGGTGACGGAGGAGTTGTGAGGGAGCGAGCGCATGATCTGGACAAAGGTGGATTTGGCTTCCATGAAGAAGATCTCTTCCTGGGTGATGTCGAGGGCGGAGGTGAGGTCGTCGATGGGGGCTTCCCATTTGCTGAAGAGCGGGAGGTGGATTGCTCTGTTCTCCTTGCGGGGCAGCTGGGCGGGCGCGGGTCCGAGTTCCTGCAGGAGGACGTTGAGATGGGAGTTCTGATCTGCGGCGAGGGTGGAGGCGTGTTTCTCGATGAGGGCGTGGGTAGCGTAGATTTCGTTGAGGGTGATTTGCAGCTCGAGGTCGCGCTTGGAGAGGGCGACGTAGTTGTCCATTTCCAGGCTTTCGTAGAAGTCTTGGACCTCACAGAGGTCGAGGAGGAACCGGTTCACTCGCTCTTTGTTCTGTTGGATGAAGGGCTGCAGTTTGGCCATGTAGGGCTCCTTGGCGTAGGAGGGCTTGTTGGCGAGGTTCTGCAGCATCTTTGCGATCAAGGTCAGGGTGCGGCGCGGCTTCTCGGCTGGGGTGCCGTCGATGAGCATGTAGGAGCGCGGCGTGACGATGGCCGGGTTGATGAAGCGCAGGAAGAAGAAGCCTCCGATCAGGGTGCAGATGACATGGTCCTGGGCGTCCGGGTACTTGCGTTTGGAGAGGCTGCGGATCTGCTTGCATATCCAGCGGATGCCGTAGGGGGTCTCCTCGAGGCCGTCGATGATGGTCTTGAGGAAGCTGTTGGCGAGGTCAGTGAGCATCTTGAGCCTGGGCGCAATGATGGCCTGGACCTGCTCGTTTTCCGCGGCGACCTCGGCGGTGACTGCGCGTTCGAGATAGGGCGGGAGGGAGCCGGTGCTGGCCTCGATCTGCTGGACCATGGACTCGTAGACCTTGAGCGGATTGATCTCGAGGTCGATGTCGTGCAGCTCGATGAGGGAGTTGATCTGGCCGGCCAGGATATGTTTCAGGTATGCCTGTCCCGGTCCACGGCGGGTATACGTGGTCATCATGCGGGAGACGGGCGTGTTCTGGCGCAGGAGGGAGGAGTACTCGGGGGTGTTGTCGAACTGGTAGGTGAGGACGGACTGGAACATGGTGAGCAGGAGATGCTCTTCGCGGCTCTCGTACTGGTTGCCGTAGATGGTGAACATGACGGTCTGCAGCAGCGAGTCGATCTCGGCCATGGAGACGAGACGGCAGAGGTGGGCGATGTGCCGGGGCTCCGACTGCAGCAGGAAGAGCAGGTTGCCGTACTTTTGCGTCTTGTCGTCGTTGGGGAAGGCCCCTTCTTGTATGTCTGCCGGGTCATCCAGATGGCTGGCCACTTCGTTTTGCTGCTCCAATTAGTCTCTGACTATCTCTCTTCTGTGGGTGCAAAGGGTGAGTACCTCCTCCAAGGCCATGCGGTTCTGGATGAGCAGGGCGATGCGCGAGTCGAGGTAGCGGACGTCCTTTTCCAGCACGAAGTTCTTCTTTGACTGCGTCGAGATCTTGGACTTGAGCTCCCGCAGGCTCTTTTGCGCTGTTGCCGTCAGTATTATTATCTATACACAGAAGTGAGAAGTGAGGAGTGAGAAGTGAGAAGAGGGTTACCTCGTGAGAGTTCGTCGGAGATCTCGAGGTCCTTTTCCTTCGCGGACATGGACAGGTAGAGCGCGGTGACGGACATGCGCTTCGACTGGCGCATCGAGCGGGCATCGTGCGAGGACATCGTGTTCTGCCTGCTCATGGGCTGGAAGGAGGACGAGGAGGAGGTGGATGCGCGAGAGGCGCGGGACGCTGGCTGCAGCATGGTTGCGACGGACATTCTACTCTCTAGCACTCGTTAGTCTCTTATATATAAGTAAGATATATATAGTGGGTGTCGACCTACATCACGACAGCATCGAACCGGCCTCTGTCTCCTGTCTATCGCAGTCTGCCGTCGCTGTCGCTGTCTCTGTCGCTGTCACTGTCGTCTGTCGTCTGTCGTCTGTCGTCTGCTTGTCTGTCTAGCGAGGTGGTGGTGGTGGCGACGGGAGTGTCAGTCAAGTCAGCTAAGTCTGTCTGTCAGCCAACGAACGACCAGCGAGCCAACGTCCTAACGGAGGTCCCCGGCGAGTCAATGGCTGCTGCCGGCTGCTCTGGCTGGAGGAGAAGCTGAGGACGAGACGCTGTCGAGGCGAAGGGCGGGCGTTGTTGCAGGCAAGTAGAGAGAGCGAGAGAGAGCGAGAGAGAGAGAGAGAGAGAGG